CGGAGTGCAAGCTTTCAACAATAATATGGATCCTACTATTTAGGGTACTATATTAGGGCCCCCTATTTTCGGAAACCCCCATATATACACAACAGAAGAAATGCACCAGCACCCAGAAAATTCCTTGCCCCTAAATCCTAAACCCTAAACCCTTGCAGGTTACGGTGCCCCAACGGCCCGGCGACCTCCGAAGCCGGCTCCAAGACCGCGCGTTCCTGGAGTTTCAAAATAGGAGAACGCGGGATCGGTATTGAGCTCATGTCGAGGCTGGGTGAAGGATTTCATAAGCCCTATGTTTTTGTACGCATGTACGGTATGCCGCCATGTGATGTCGTCTTTCTGTATCACACCCAGTATGCATACATGCCGACCCCACGAGAATGTCGCCGCCTAGCCTCGGAAGAACCCAGCGTCTGGAATGGATGTCCACTAAAATCCTGACCTTCCAGTTGCGCAACTGGTTTGTTAGCGGCATGAGAGGAAAGGGCTGAACCCATCCGAATCCTGCGCAGCGCCTGTAACGCTCGCCGCCGATCCGAGCTGAAAACATTCTTCGCAAGCAAGGCTGAAATCTTATGACGGCTGACTTACTGCTCTGCAAGTTACTCATATTATTTCACACCTTGGGGACCAAATGACCCTCATAAGCTGGGGCCCTATAACCTTACACTATGAATCCCTATATGGTATATGAACCTGAAACCCTTTTGGGGTTCATTTCGTCCTTAAGGCATGGCCCGTTAAGATGATGATGCTACAATGCACCCCGAGCCCTTGCTCTGATGATTAAGGCCCCAAAACGGTTGATGATCTAAACCCTGCATGACCCATAATACGGAATGTGACATATATAATTCCCATAGCTTGGGGCCCGCAAGGTAATGCAGGATTTATATCATCAACAGTACCCTAAACCCTAAAACCCTAAACCCCTAAACCCTATTGCTCAACAGTATTACTCCCATGTCCCATTTTTCACCGAGCTTTGTCTCGGCCCAGGTTGGCCGCGCCAGCACCGAGGAGGCGACAGATTTCGGAGACAGCGATGCGGAAGAGGACAGGGGGGGGTTCGGGCTTTCGGGCTGCTAGGTGCTTGTAATTTTTTAAGGGCCTAGATAATTACCAATACTATTTTGAGGGCTCCTTGTTATAATTATAGTTATAATTGGCCCCAAAACCCTGTTCTAATTAATTATTTAGGCCACTACAGTAGGAACTTGAATTTAGGTTTAGCCTTTCGGCTTTAGGGCCAATAGGTTCTTAAAGATTTTGGTTTAGGGGTTTATGGTCTGCCGATGCAAGGAGAGACATGCCCAAGAAATAGGGAGGCTTTTTTGCTGAAGCCGCGGAAAATTCATTTACAGGGCCGCGTACGGTTTTTGTGTTATCTTGCATGACCACGACTTGTGTTTCAAGCTGAGCAGCAACTGCCGTTGTCATTGCTTCTGCTGCTGCTGCCGCCGCCGTGGCTGCTGCTGCTGCTGCCGCGTCTTCTTATTATTCTTGTTGGCTCCCTGTCCACCTGCGCCTCCTTTTCCTCCTGCATGCTGTGTGACGGAAGCAGCGGCACGGCAAAAGGGGGTCCGGTGACGGTTTTGGGTGTTCTGCCATCAGTCAAGCAGCCCGACACAGAGTGCACGCGCTGTAAGCATCAGGGACTCGCAACATCGCAGGAGCCTCGCGCAGACGCAGTGGAGTCCAAAGATGATTCCCATGCGTCCAGCGACAGCAGCGATCACGAGGGCGATGAGTCAAAGTCGGAAACTCCTGCAAAGGACGGGGGTAGACCCGGTAGAAGGTTTGGAAGCCGTGCTCCAAGGGAGTGATTTTGTTCTTGGGGATGAGGGTGTAGGACGGACTGTGCCAGGAGGATGCGACCAAGTCAGAGGATAAGAACGACGAAAAGTCAGCGTCGGCTTCCGCCGACAGCACGGTGGAGGGCGACGAGAAATCGGAGAAGTCTGACAAGGAGGACTTGCCCTAACTGCCCTAACTCGTCACGTGCACACACACAAAAGTCACACAAACACACATCTGATTCAACGGTGGCCAAAACCCTAAACCCTAAAACCTAAACCCCATAAAAAGCCCTAAAACCTTAAGGCCTGAAACCTAAACCCCATAAAAACCTTCAACCGCCTAAACCCTAAAACCTACACCTCGGATCCCTCAAGCCGTTCTCTTTGCTGCAGTCCAGGAGAACCCTATATAACCTTATATACCCCTTAGATAGTTTCACAAAGCCCCTAAACCCTGAACCCTGAACCCTAAACCCTAAACCCTAAACCCTAAACCCTAAACCCTAAACCCTAAACCCAAAGCAACCCAAGGGTCCCTTCTAAGGGTCCCTCCTTTTGTCCCCTGAAGTCCAGGAGATTTTCCGGTGGGTAGTTACCGTTGCAGGAGCCTTATAGAAGCCCTATGTACCCTAAACTCCCCACCTGTAGCTTCCTTTAACCTACCCTACACCCTAAACCCCTAAACCCTAAACCCCTAAACCCCTAAACTCTAATCTCCCCACCTGTAGTTTCCTTTAACTAGGGTTCTTAGCTTCCTTTAAAGTCCAGGAGAAGATTTTCGAGACCCTAAACCCTAAACCCTAAGAGGAGCCTTTGAGCTCCTCCGAGGAGTCTGCAGCAGAGCCGAAGAAGGAGCCGGAGAAGTCCGACACCGTCGAAGAGGAGAGGGGTTTAGGGTTGAGGGTTTGGGGTAAAAGGTTTAGGGTTGAGGGTTTGGGGTAAAAGGTTTAGGGTTGAGGGTTGAGGGTTTGGGGTAAAAGGTTTAGGGTTTAGGGTTTGGGGTTTAGGGTTGAGGGTTTAGGGTTTAGGGTGCAGGGTTTTGGGTTTAGGATATAGGGTTGAGTAAAAAAGGGTTTAGGGTATAGGGTTTAGAGTTTAGGGTTTAGGGGTTTTAGGATTTAGGGTTCAGGGTTTAGCGCCCTGGCAAGGAGGAAGCCAAGAAGGAAGACAAGGAGGATGACGAGAAAAGGAAGGAGGAGGAAGAAGACGGCGAAAGTGAAGCTGGCGAAAGTGAGGATGAGAGGCCCAAGCAGGATTCTGCGAAGGAGGAGAAGAAACCGGAAGCGTCTGAGAAAGATAACGACTCAGAGGATGCAGGCAAGGAGCCAGAGGAGAAGGAGACAAATTCTGAAGATAAGAAATCCGAGCCTGAAAAAGAGGAGAAGAAAGCCGACCCGGAAAAAGAGGAGAAGAAAGCCGACCCGGAAAAAGAGGAGAAGAAAGCCGAGCCGGAGAAAGAGGAGAAGAAAGCCGAGCCGGAAAAAGAGGAGAAGAAAGCCGAGCCTGAAAAAGAGGAGAAGAAAGCCGAGCCTGAAAAAGAGGAGAAGAAAGCCGAGCCTGAAAAAGAAGAGAAGAAAGCCGAGCTGGAAAAAGAAGCGAAGAACGCCGAAGACACGGAGAAGTCGGAGTCTGGGAAGGAAGAGGAAGAGGAGAAGGCCGCAGAAGCAGAGGAATCTGAGAAAGAAGAAGCAAAGCCCACAGACAAGGGGCAGCCGGAGTCCGAAAAGCAAGAAGAGAAGCCCAAGGAAGAGGAGAAGCCCAAAGAGACAGAGCAAAAGATCGAAGAGGAGAAGAAGTCGGAGTCCGAAAAGGTGGAGCACAAGGCGGAAGAAGAGGAGAAGTCAGAGTCTGAGACGGCGGAAAAGGCGGAGAAGTCGAGCGAAGACCCAAAAGAGGATGAGGAGAAGCCTGTAGAATCGGCACCGCCCAAAGAGGAGCAAACGACTTCCAAGGAAGCTTCCGTAGAGGAGTGCGAGCAGCATGGGTTGGCTGTGGATTTGGCGTTGGTGCTTTGCAGTGCAGGGACACGGTTAAGAATGAACCGCGCCATCTTGTGACAGCAGTAATCGTGGTAGCTCGCAGTCAACGACGTCATCACGGTCGCAGTAGTAGCAAGAGAAGTCGTGCTCATGGTGATGGTATCAAGCAGTAGCGTTACCATCAGTCGTAGCACCGGCAGCCACAGCAGCAGTGGCACGTTGAAGACTGCTGGCTTTTGTGACTTTGGAGTCAAGTCGGATGTGAGTTCTTAGTCATCATCGGAAATCATTACAGGTCTTCCTTTTCTCGACCTAAGCGAGCCCCAAACTCAAGTACCAAAGCTTCGGAAAGCCGAGCAGGAATCAAAAAAGACTCAGACTGAACCTGGGGAGAAGGACAAGCCGCTTGCATGAAGCAGTTGGCTCTCGTTGGCGTGTGCTTTGTGCAAAGAAACCACAGCCTGCGAAGAGTTCAAGCAGGCTGATTTCTCGTTTCTACCACACGGTACACACACCCTGAATGCCATAAAGCACGCCAAGGATGGAAGAGCCACCCAAGGCCAACGATTCCGAAGAGTCCAAAGAGACGACGGAGGCGAAGCGACCAAGGGAGGGATCATTCGTTTCAGTGTGCCGAGGTTGTCGGGTTTGCGCTTTGGGGGCTGTCGGGCTCAGGGTTCAGGAGCCTACTTCGTTGAGTGTTTAGGCTTTAGGGTTTCAGTTTCAGGGCAAGTTTATAGGGTTTAGGGCCCTTTCAGGGTCCGTTTTGCAAGGGTTGAGGGGTCTAGCTTGAAATATCCGATGATCTAAGCAACACAGGAAGGATCCTCTGGGCACTGCAAGTTCGCGAAGCCTTGTTTTTTCATGGTTCTTCCTTGCAGACAATCCCTAACCCCCCAGGTGCCTACCATATAGGGCCCTAGGGGCTCTAGTACCCTACATAGTAGTACCTGGGGCGGTTGGGAATGAAGGCTTCGGGGAGTCAAGGCATCTGGCCGCAGTTTTATAGTCCCAGGGTCGCTAGGCAGTAGAACTTCAGGGTTTAGGGTTTAGGGTTTAGTGCAGCACAGTTCGGCCGCAGCGTGGTGAGGCAAAGATCGAGGAGTCGGAGGCCGTTGCTTCAGAAGAGCAGAAGGAGAAGAAGGACTCAAAGCAGCCTAACCCTAAAGCCTAAAGCCTAAACCCTAAACCCCTCAACCCTCAACCCTAAACCCTAAACCCTAAACCCTAAGCCCTAAACCCTAAACCGCAGAGGAGCCGAAGAATGAGGCAGAAGCCAAAGACGACAAGAAAGAGAAAGAGCCTGAGGATGATGGCAAGGAAGAGGCAAAGGACAAGACGGAGGAAGCACCGAAAACAGCTGAAGAGCCCCAAAAGCAAGGAAAGCTCTCCGGGACGGAAGAGGCAGAGCGCAGCACACGGTTTAGGGTTTACGGTTTAGGGTTCAGGGTTTAGGGCCCTTTTGTGTCGGCATGCAGGTAGACGGCGAAGATGCTCTATGACAGGTTAACCCTTGCTTTCTTGTCCCTCGCAGTCTTATATGCTCCGAGCCATAATCTGGTCCGAAGTCAGCAGCAAAAAACACTACTTAGACTGATTGGCTGGCCTTGCCCACGCCGGAGCCTTTATAGACCAAAAGCTACCGCTTTGCAGCCGTTGAAGTCAGAAAAACATCTCCCCTTTCCTGCGCGGACCCTAAACCCTAAACCCTAAACCCTAAACCCTAAAACCCTAAACCCTATTCCCTAAACCCTGCAAGGCGGTGAACATGATGGGGGAAATGCTCGTGGCTTTGAAGTCTGAAGAGAAGCTTGTCTGGGAGTTTCAGAAAATTAGGGTTTAGGGTTTAGGGTTTAGGGCCCTTATAATAAGGATCCTACTATTTAGGGTGCTATATTAGGGTCCCCTCTTTTCTGAAGCCCCCATCTGAACCCCGCAAGAAGGGCTCCTCAAGGCCCTAATATAGGGGCCTAAATAATCACCTATACTATTTTAGAGGTTTCTTATTATAAATATAATGTATTAATAGGCCCCCAATAAGCTCCCTTTTTAGAGGTTCCTTATTATAAAATTAGTATAATGAGCCCCCAATACCCTCTTCAAATTATTAAGGCCCCTACATTATCCCAACTGCGCGCACCAAACTGCCCACACCTTCGAGCTTTAAGCGGCATCCAGGAGCCGTCGGCGGAAAGCACACGAGAGCCTCAACCTCTCAAACTTCTTTCAAGCCAAGAAGCAGGAAGCAACAGGTCCCGAAACTTTAAACGAGCTAAACCCCAAACCTTAAACCCTAAACCCTAAACCCTATTGTGAGTTTCAAGATAAGGCCCCACACACACACACACAAGCACCAAGAAAAGCCACCCGTTGAGAACGTTTGATCCCTGAAGTTGCACGATGCCTGGGGGAGGCGGGGGCATGCGAACAGACCTCTAGCCTAGGGGAAGGCTTGTAGATGGAGCTGCTAAGAGAAAGTGCTGCAGCTTGCTGTGGCCTTGTCGTGTTGTGTCGTTCAGTGTTTTCTGTCATCTTGCTACTTGTTGCCAAGGAATAACAGTAAGATTTCTGATGTTTTTGTGTTATCTCGTGCTGTTGGCCTGCCATACGGCATGGTCACACTCAGGGTTCGTTTCGCTTGCAATGTCTGCTGCTCTCTGGTACAGAAAAATGATCCCACGAGGCCTAATGCTGCAATGATGCTGTCAGGACCTAACTATCACAGCGGCACCAGTGTCATGCCGGCTTGAACTCTTTTTTGTGTTTCGTGTTCGAGACTTGAGGGCCCGTGACCTTTAGGCTCAGGATCTTCTGGGCTTCAGTTCTCGCGGAGTAGTGTCAGTGCAGACACAGGATAGGACCAGCAAAGGAAATCTGGTAGAGCCGAGCTCGAAGCAACAAGAAACTCCGAGGGAAAGCGAGGACGAAGACAAGGATGCCGTGCCCAAGGAAAGGAAGCAGCAGGCAGCTACCGTAGTCTAGTCCTGATTGTTTTAGGGCTTATGCTTACGATCCTCCATTAAGGAGTATTGATTGGGATTCCTGGGTCCCTACAACACCTATAGTCTCCATTGTAGTTCCTTTTTTTTGGTTTAACCAATTTTATTTTTAGGATCCTACAAGGTAACCCCAAAAAGGAACTACAATGGAGACTATAGGCAGTGTACAGATTGCGTACGATCCTAAAACAGACTTTGCTTTGCATCCACGGCACTGCAAGGAAGTGAAGCACCCGGCTGGTAAGGGGGAACCCCCAGAATCAGAATACTGTCTGGTGCTTAGTAGGGAACGGGGGAATGGATCCCTATGATAGTCCCTTAAGGTCCCTTATAGTAGTCCCTATAACCCATTCCCCCATTCCCTACTAAGCACCAGACAGAACAGAGTTCCTGTTGGATTCCTGGGTATGAAACTACTTTCTATGCAGTTTGTCTGAGTTTTTAGTTTACCCCGAAACCCTACCTCAATCATTAAACCTACTAAATATCATGTTGAGGCTGGTCTTACGCAGCCTTTGTGGGGATCACGGATGAAGGGTTCAGAATGAGGGGTTGCTTTTGGAGGCCCTCATCTTAGATGTTGTGAACCTAGATGTTGTGAACCCCAGCGGTCCCAGCGTTTCAAGCATAAAAGCCCCCCAACTTGTTGCAACTCCCGTGGAACATGAGTGGCAGCCAGTTTTTGTTCGTGAAGCTGTTTTTGACCCCACCATGCCAAGCCTCGAGAAGAACATGATCTGGTTGCGACTGTTGCAGCGAAGACGGCCCTAAGAGAACAGGGTGTTGCTATCATTTGCACAGTGGCACGCTGTGCCGATCTTGGGGGCATATTGTTGGAAGTCACAAACGCGTACACTTCGCCAGGCAATAATGTGGCCCCCACACGTCTTGGTTTACGGATATCTGCTGTGCAATTTCCCTTCATGCACATAGACATAGCAATCCATGATGTCTCAGATAGACAGAGGTAGTTGGTGGAGGAGCAACACCCGTCGAAGTAGTAAGATTTCTCACTGAAGTTACAAGGGGGTTTCCGAAAATAGGGGACCCTAATATAGTACCCTAAATAATAGGATCCCTATTATAAGGACCCCAAAATAAGGTACCCTAATGTTCTGAAACTCCCACAATGCGCAGGCCGTCGACATGATGGAGGAGGTCTTGGTAGCTTTCAAGCCGGATGAGACACTTGGGAGTTTCCGAAGATAGGGGGGGTACCTTTTAGGGTTTAGGGTTTAGGGTTCAGCAGCTCCGGAACGAGCAGTTTTAAAGTAGAGTTGTAGCCACGGATTCGGCATAACACCCACCCACCCTCAGAATCCCAAAACATTACGAAAATATAGAAAGTTTGTTTTATCATCACTT